ACACTGACATTACGAAGATGCTTAACTACCAATAAGGGGAACTAGAATTACTTTGGTGGCACTTGAAGCAGTATCGGGAACGAAGCTAATTGACAAGGATCTTTTTTTAGTTGACATCAAAGCATTCTCAAACTCAATTATCGTTGGAAGTGTTAAAATAGATCTGAACTTGGATTTGGTGCATGGTGAGTGAATGAATTCCAAGGATTTCGATACCCATGATCAAAGTCAATTGGCAAGAAATTCATGTGCAAGTGGGTCGGATATAAGGCGTCACAACCTAGGATCGGTTTTCAAGCACTGTGAGGTTTAAGCACGAAAACATTTGCAGATGTAGACATTCACCCCACACGGAAGCAGGAGAATGGGTTTGTGGTAACATGAACATTCTCGTGGTGACATCACATGCAACCAAACACCGCTTCACTTCTGGTTCGGCGTCCACGTGTGTCCTAAACCTACCACCAAGATTACCTGCACAGGATTTGGACGAAACCTAACAGTTTCAAGCACACGTTTTAAACAAACTCCTCTTCCTTAGAGGTTTGAGTTTAGACTATCGACGACAGTTAATTAAGGCGAGACAATAAAGAGTGCTTGTAGGTAGGATTAGCTAGCCGTCTGACAGGAACGCAAATAGTACCAAGGTCATTTCCAACCTCAACCTACTTGAAAAGTGGAACTGCGTAGTCTGAAGCGCGCACAGCCTGTCGCCCTTCATTACCGAAAATACCGATGCCCACACTGGCTTCCTGCAGCATTGCAACGTCGTTTCCGCCGTCACCAACAGCGGCAGTCACGGGGGGTCCACCGCCACCGACACCATCCAGGCCACGATTCACAAGACGCACCACCGCTGCTTTCTGGAGGGGCGTCATGCGACAGCACAGCACCGTCGTCACATTCATGCAGAGGCGGAGAAACTGCTCACGAAGAACGGGCTACAACAACACAGAGCTTTTGGCTGAATTGGTTCCATTCAGATAAATCGATTACCTGATATCTGTTACTAATGTGGCCAAAGTTGCATTGATATTCATTGGATCACGAAATTTAATGAAGCCTCTATATGACTAGTTAGCAATTACTTTCGCCTGGATTTCATGCTGTCCATTGACGGACAGCATATAACGATACGATTTTGACACTTACATTGTTTGCAAGTGATTTACGTTAAGACACAGTTTTGTCAGTCTTTTGGAGTTTACCTAAATTTATCCCACGCTTACAGAGGTAGTCAAGAACCACTTGCAATCGAGTATCTTCTGCTGAGAATTAAAAAAAGTTACAGCAGTAACAACCTGATTTCTGACACTGTTGTTTTCAAGAAATTTCGCCGCGTTAAATAAGTTTACCTGCTGAGATTTGCTCAAAGTGCTGTGCTATTCTACACAACGTTTT